GAATTAAAGGCAATAAACCCCTTATGATAGACTGTCCTTTCTGAGCAACTTTTATTTTTCCTGAGAACATAAAAATTATCCTTATTTCGTGTTGGATAGTCATGAATTATACTATTTAGTGACCAGTCTATCAGTCAAATAGTTCGGCGCTAGCCCATTTTTTATTTTGTAAATAAACACCGCAACACCTCTAAATTCCAGAAACTTTTCTATAGAAAGCTACTTTAACTTACTTAACATTAATTTTATAGGTGTATCCCTCCTTTCTCCCAAAATTATCCTCATGGCTCTATTTTTCAATTTTTGTAATCTATTTATTTCATTGTTGTTCGCCAGATACAACACAGTTGAATCATACACTAAGTGGGGCAGCACCAAAGTATTGAAGGCCATCATCCTTGACCAAGTCAGTGTCAAAAACCTGGACACTTCAGTGGCGTAGCCAGGGGGGGGGCCAGGGGGTCCGCCCCCCCCCCAAGACTTCAGAGAAAAATAGAAAAATAATGAAGTAGACGAAAGCTGTAAACTACTCATATCAGAAAAAGTTTAAAGGAAAGTGAATCTGTGTTTCTTCCTATAATTTTTTCTGCATGCCCCCCCCCCCCCCCAGACAAAATTTCTGGCTGCGCCACTGGGACACTTTATACAAAAAATTGATGTTTTTTGTTAATTGGTCAATTGTACATATAATATGTTCCTTAAAGTTGAGTGCTCTGTCAACTATAAAGCCCAGATACTTTATTTTCTCCACCAATTCGACTTCATTCTATTCAATCAATATGTGAAAGTCACCTGCTCTATATTCATTTTGATATCTGGAATTCCCGATCAACATAAATTTTGACTTGTTGTTATTCAACTTAAGTGAATTTGATTCGAACCACTTACTCAATTTCTTCACATACAAATCAATTTTATCAATCAAACATTGCAAAACCTTTGAATAGAAATATATGAGTGTATCATCTGCAAACAAATGAACGGAACAATATTTTATCGCCACCCCAATGTCATTATAATATACAAGAGGAACTGCAAGGGTCCCAAAGTGCTTCCCTGCGGAACACCATTGTCATTCGAGAGGTCTGGAGACGTTTGCCCTTCAGCTCTCGTTACCTGTTTTCCCATACTGCTTTAATTTATTTATCTTATCAGGATCTCTCTATTTATTGACTATTGTCTCAAAGGCTCGTTTCAAGTCCAGCGAGGAACACAGCCCCAATCGCATAATTGTCGTCCAAGAGATATTTCCATTCGTAAATTATATTCTGGATAGCAGATTCACAACTATGTTTCTTTCTAAAGGCTGATTGATCATCAATCAAGATATTATTATGGATAATAAAATCAAGCAACTGTCCATGTACCACCCTTTCCAATATTTTTTCTGTGGCAGGTAACTTATTTACTGGCCTTGAATCCTTTGCCTCTATGGAGCCCTTGACTTGCTGAATTGAAATCACTGGTTGAGACCTTCAATGTGGATGGAACCTGACAGCTTTCTAACAATGAATTAATAGGATTTAAAAGAGGATCTTTATTTGACTGAAAAGTATTCTTCAAAAATTGTTTCCTTCCTTATCTGTCAATGAAAAGACAATATCCTCCAATTCTTTCATGTCAAACAGCTTAAAAAATACTCAACTGTTGCAACTGATTCCATTCCTTCCTCCGCAACTTCCCCAGTTGAACCATCCACTCTACCACATCCCATCTCACTTACTATGATATTCATACTCTCTATAAAGAACACACTAAGTTTTTCTGTGATATCCTTTGGTGTTGTGCTAATATTATCATCCTCTTTTTTTACCCTATCAATTGATTTCTTATTTCTGTCATTTATTAAGCAACTTAATGTTTCCCACATTCGTTTTGGACTATTACTAGAATATTCAATCTTATTTTGGTAGTACTTGGTTTTTTCTTCTCTAATAACCTTTACTACCTTGCTTCTATATATATTTTTTATGTTTTCTCTTGGTGCAACTTGGTTTAAAATATTCAATAATCTAATAAAAGATTTTTTAGTAAATGTAATATATATTTATATATTTCCACTAAATTAAGTTAATAAACTTTGACATGTTTCGCTAACACTGTATAGCTTCATCAGAAATTGTAAGAATTTATAAAAAAAAAAAATATAAAAAACCTTTTTTATATTTGACAATTTCACTTTATTTTAAAACATAAAATTCTTACAATTTCTGATGAAGCTACCGTGTTAGCGAAATATGTAAGAGTTTATTAACCTAAATTAGTGGAAATATATAAGTATATTACATTTACTTTAGAAACGTCACTATTTGTTAAGTATAGGATCCTCACTCTTCCATGTCTTTTTATTCTCGAGTCAGTAAGCCTTATTCATAAGAATATATCTCTTGTTTTCCGGCACGCCAAACTACCCATCTGACGAGACAAAGTCATCATCTGTCGCTTCCTATTCCACATTCCTCTCTTGTACAGAACTCTATCATTTACAAGAGTGTAAAACTTTATAATCACCTTCCAGCAACTTTGAAAGATATATCAGATATCACTCTATTTCGAAAAAAGTTAAAAATTATCTTACTTACCCAAGCATTCTATACTGTTAATGAATTTCTGGACTTGGTATTTTGAACCTAATAAATTTAACCAGCTTTTGCAGCCTAGAATTATCGTGGGCAGGGCACTCTGTCCTGGGTGTTTATTTTATTTTCCTATCAGAGCACTACTGTACTGTTTGTTCATGTTTTATCTTATTTCTTAATGTTTCTGTCAAGATCTGACCCCCTAGTTATTTAGTTATTATTGATTTTAATATTTTACAACAGTTTGTTCTTGTACTGTTTCTTCTCTGTGTGACTTATCACTTGTTTATAGTTTTTTTAAACTTATTTATTAACTGTTAAAATTTAAAAATATGTATGTGTATTTACTGTGACAAGGATTATAGTTAGATGGTTTAGATTTTAGATTTAAGGATTAGCTTTGTCCATAATGATTATTGTATTTTTTGACAATAAAGCATGCTACTACTAATTTTCTATTAGAACATGAATTTCCACCTAGTAGAAGCCAATCCAATAAAAATAAAAATATTTAATAATGTTTCCTGAAATATTTTATACTTCAAATTTATATAATTACTTCTATCGTTCCAGAAAACCAGTAATAATCTCCTATTAAATTCATCAAAATATATCTTTCCCCTTTTGTCAATAAATAAGTCGTCCTTCCATGTCCCTGTAGGCTACAAATGTACCTGCACTTACATATAATGATCACTTATCATTGGCGTCTCCGAAACCTCACTCTTAAAATGCTCTTTATGATTGGTTATAACCAAATCTATTAAACTACCTCCAGTATCTGAAGAATGCGTTGCTGTTTCAACTATTTGATATAATTCCGCGTCGCTAACAATTTCTTTAAACTTATCTGTATAAGTTGACTTATCTGTCAACCAATTAATACTGAAATCCCCCATAATCAATACCACCCGATGTGTGCCTGTTTTCACTATACACTCAAAATCATTAAAATCCTCAGTAATCCTAGTTTCCGTTGAGCAGACTAGGGGATTTGTGTTCAATATAAAATTATGAATCTCATCGAAATTTGAAGGAAGACTCTGCGAGTTAATTAATGTTATTTTGTTATTTCTAAGACATGACCTCTTTGCGTAAAAAACCCTTGTTACGATTACTAACAAATGCCCTGTTTTGACACTTGGCACAATTCACTATTTCTCTGCCATTTTGAAATATCCTTCATCCATCCTTCTTTTGAAGATAGAATGTTTGGGAAGTCTTGAGAAACTCAACATTTCAACCATGTTTTTATCGTCAATTCCTTCCAGAAAAAGATGTTTTGATAACAGTGGTTTTACTTTTCTTAGTGATCATTTTTGGTACACTCATCGCGACACTCACTGTATCTACAAGAAGAGTTGACAGCCTACTAACAGAGATTTCAGCCAAAGAATATTTTTTAGGAGAAAGCTGACAGAGAAGTGAATAGTCGCTGCCAAGCAAAACGCTCCAGCAAGCGATCAACGCAAGCAATTATCGCCCAGCAATTATCGCAATAGTCGCTCCAAGCAAATCGTACCTTTAATAATAGAACCAGGCCCATTTTAGCGGCGACGCGCCTATCGCTGTTTTGAACCAATCATACGGAATTCTGGTAAAGTCCTATACAGGGTGTCCCACTAAGGTCGCCAAGGTACGATATTATGGAAACCATAGACCTTACGGCTTCGGGATTTTTTTTCCTCCACTAAATCGGCCAAGAGAAATTGATGGAAATTATTTTCAAGTTTCTAAGATGACCGCTAGGGGGCTCAATTACGATGATATAACTAAAAATTCAAATTTTCTCAAGAAATCGCTATATTAAGATATTGTATCAACAACTGAAATCAAAAGTTCATTAATTTTTGCGCCAGTTTGGTTATAAGGCTTTTTTTCTATCTTCACTAATAAGGTTGGGGGAAGCTAATGAAAAAATAGTTTTAAAAATTGCTGTATCTTCCATACCCCTCATCCAAACTCAGAAACCCATTCAATTTGGGCTCATTTGAAAGAGAATTTCATTGTTATCAAGAACACCACTTCGTTCGGGGTCAATAGTTCTCACCGCGTCTTCTACAGAGCGCTGTTTAACCAAGATCCAGTTTTTTCTAATTTTTTTGAAAAATCCAAATCGTATGATATTATTTTTTTATTGGTGTGCTTAAAGAGCAAAAAAAATATCTACATTTTGGCGCAAACCGCAATTCAATATCTGCATTCATTTTCAAGTTACGTAAGGTCTATTCCATAATATTGTACCTCGTCGACCTTAGTGGGACACCCTGTATATTTTGTCTCGGTCGACAGTCGAGGTAGTTAGTTACATGCAGGCAACTCAGATGGAAAAAAAACTGCAAAAGGTCATTAGACAAATTATAGTATAGAAAGCCTTACTCTTGGAAAAACGTAAAGTGAAAATAAAAAACAATTAATTAAATTTAAACTCGGTTTATTTTTAATTTATTTTTCTATAATTAAACTTCTCTTGCAACAAATGTAAGTGTTGAAAGATTCATAATAATGTTTGCGTTAAGTAACAGCTATTTCATTATTTTTAATGAAAAACTATAAATATATTATTTAAAGAAAACAACAAATAGTTACTATTCCAATGAAATAGATTCACTAAACTATAACGAAATAAAACACTAAAATATGTGAATATTTACAGCAACAAAATAACAAAAACATACCAACAAAATAATATATTGAGTGCTCCAATTATAATTCTTGAAGATAATTTAAAATTTTACAATGTCCTTTTTTCAATGTTTAATAAAGGTCCTATCACTTGCTTGACTACAGACTCCCCTTACATGACTGCAGATTTCCTGTGTGGAAGCAAAATATTTTATGGCCAACACAATTGAAAAATATGTTGATGACTCAAACTCAAGTTGATTTTGGATCTCAGTCACATTACATTACATGCATATTCCTTGCATCTATCTATACGGAAGGCCGAAATAAGCGAAATAATTCCGCTCATAAAAATTCCAGCATTTTAATATAGGTATGTAGGTACCTATTAGATTTTGGAAATTGTGAAGAGAAAAGTAGCAGGCTAGTTTGAGAAAAATTTGCCTATTTGAAACTCATGATAATGATAACTCGCTATTTTGAAAATTATTTTATGAAGATACAAGTAGATCATTAAAATTATCCTAAAAATCAAATTTCTGATTCACTGCAATGTAGTAGTGTACCTACTAAGAAAAAGGTTTTGACAAACAGGCATAAAATACAGAACATAGTATGTATCATATACTAAAATATGTTTATCACAGGAGACTAGAGTAGATAGAAATTTTTACTGTGTATTTCCAATATTTTAGCCTTTTTGTCCCATTTGAATAATTATCTCGATGTCAGGAGCGCATCAAAATCTATATAATCGACCGCTCGCGTGTTTAAGCTCTACATTAACTAGGAAAGTACCTAAAGCATTATTCACAATCTGTATCTTCTTCGCCTAAATAATCCTGACATGGGACTGGACTTAAATTTGGCGCTGTTGCTGGGGCTGAAGACATTTGAACAATTCATCTGTAGTGATTTAACCACTCTTCGCATATTTGTGCCACAAGCAATGGCTTTTTGTGCAAAGGTTGTTGAGCTACTTTGATGCCCTCCTCAGTGTCAGATACTTCTATCCATTGCCTCAGTATAGTTTCCTCTCTTCCTAATTCAGATTCTAATAGAAAATGTATTTGCAGAGGCTTTCGGCTTTCTATCTGTGTCTACTAGTGGCAACAAAGAGGCACGCAGTTGTGTATTTAATGAAGGCTTTGCCAATTTGAAACTCAGGATAATGATAACTCGCTATTTGAAAATTATTTTATGAGGAAACAAGTAGATCATTAAAATTGTCCATAAAAGAAGTTTTGATTTTTTTTCTGGGTCTATTTGAAGTTTTAAAATACATGTCACTTTATTGTTGATACTTTTCCTCCTCTACAATAGTTCATGGTGAACTTAAATTAAATCATATGCGACGTTTCATGATTTTGTTTGGTGTCTATCAACTTATATGGCTCAACTTTTTTCTTTAAGAAAGCATCTATTAGAAAGATCTGTACAAATAGAAGTGCTTTAGCTTTGGACAAACAGTCTCCCTTGAGTCCTTTTGTAAAAATCGGTGAAGATATTCTGAAAGGCGTTTTTCTATGATTGGTATAATTTATATACTTGATATGAATAATTATAAGGAGTGCAAAAAAAATCTAAGCAATCGAAATTGATACATGCTTCAAGTTCAAGTTGGCAACGAAGAAACCGTGCAAAAAAACTTTGCAGTTTCTGTCATGAAAAGTGTATGTTAATTGGTAGTACCCCGAATTCTGGGGCGTTTCATTCATATCTTATAAATTATACCCACCTATGTAAAGGTGTAGTTTTTAAATGTAGCTGCCACACTGAGAAAAGACATAAAATGTATTTCAACTTCATTTTATAATAGCTGCCCAAGTTACTCTCTTTAGTACATAGAGTTCTTTTGACGCATGACGACAAAAGGGTATGAGATCACAAGCTATTCACTAATTGAATGAAAAACATTTGCCCGAACTTGGAAAAAAAATTGATCCTGACCAAAGAATCAGATCAAATTTAGAATTTTACAATGACATTTCAGGAAAAAAAGGGAAAATAATAATTGGCAAGAAGCAAAAAGCAAAAATATATTTAAACGCTTGAAATATATTTCCAGAACATGTAGTCTCATATTTTAGGAGGTCAGAGACTTGATTGTGGACACATGATGTTCATCTGTAGGATACCTATATCGAAACATTGTTTATACTAGGTGTCCCAAGACGTCACATACAGTCCATAATTTAAACAAATGAAGAAATCTGAATTTAAGTTTAAATGCCACTACTACTACTCCAACTTCATTTTTAGGTTTGGCCATGTGATGTCAGCTTCCGAATTTCCTAGTAGTTCTTGTACTACTAGAATTTTATTTATTTCGGATGACCCATTCTGAAGTAGGTAATTGTTTGTATAAGAAATGACAACCCCTATGTAGGTATACAGTTTAAAAATACCAAGTCAGTATCATATGAAAACCCCTTTTGCTGCAAAATTTGACTTGGTCTGAAGCTTAAACGTCTGAAGTTCATTTTCTGCTTAATTCGACTTTGTAGTCCCTTTCAGCTTAAAAATAATACAAAATATCTTTCAGACTAGACACAGCAAGTGAAATAGATACTGAAGCTGTTGATAGACACGATATTCTCAAAGCGAATGAATCTGATTCAGGAAATCGAGATGATAACGACGATGACCTATCAGGAATGAAAAGACAGACAAAAAAAACTAGAAATTATTTCCGCAGTTCAAGAAATATTTTTAATATCCAACCCCCTTTGCTATTGAGCAAATGCAGGCAGGTGATTTGCAGAGAAGTTTGGATGTTTTGCAATTTTTTTCTATTTAATTTGAAGTAACTTTTCTGTGTCCTGTAAATTTCCCTACATCAAACACCAAACAGCAGAGTACTTCTTGGAGCTAGGCGTTTTTGGTTTTATTTGCCATAACGTCAAAGGGTACCTACTGAACGTGTTGAACCCATCATATGTTATTTTAATGAACCATAATTGTTTGTTTGGCATCAAGTTTTCATTAATTGACATAAAGGAGAGTCTGCTGCATTGAAAAAAATCCCTGTCTGATGAACACTTCGCTAGTCATACCAATGATTTAACAATATTAATTAAGCAATAATCAGCATCTCCACCATGTGTTAGATTAGAATACCTGTATGTTGAAACAACAAATATTTTAAATAATCATAGAAGGCATAATAGTTATTTGTTTTACTAGGCAGAAAAGTACAAGATTCAATGCCGCGGCTGGTGTTTCATAGCCGAGGCATAGCTGAGGCTAGGAAACCAGCCGAGGCATTAAATCTGCTTTTCTGCCATGTAAAACATATAATTTTTCCCCGAATGTTCGAATTCACACATGGACATCTTTTTTATATTTATTTCATTCATTATTATTATCCAAATAATTAAATTATTTTGACAATTGTCATTGTCACCTTCAATTTCAAATACCAAATTGAGTGAAATTATTACCTGGAACGTTGTGACACTGTCACTTTTAATGCCTAGGCAGTAAAAGTCCACTTTTACTGCCTAGGCAGTAAAAATACAACTTTTGATCCTGTCAAGTGTCATTAAAAGGCCGCTTTTACTGTCATTCGGAGAAAAACATCATTTTACCACATAAAAGCAGCACTAAAAATCAAATTTCTGATTCACAGAAACAGGTTTTGACAAACAGGCATAAAATACAGAACATAGTATGTATCATATACTAAAATATGTGTATCACAGCAGACTAGAGTAGATAGAAATTTTTACTGTGTATTCCCAATATTTTAGCCTTTTTGTCCCACTTGAATAATTATTTCGATGTAAGAAGCGCATCAAAATCTATTTAATCGACCGCTCGCGTGTTTAAGCTCTACATTAACTAGAAAACCATATAGTCAGAGAACGAGGCACCTCTACGATGCGTTTTTAGGACCCTCTATAGGACATCATGAACAACCACCTAAAAAAAATGTTTTTTTATGTAATTTGACCTGGCGGATCCGATTTTGGAGTTCGCCAGTCCATCTGGAATTGCGAAACTGGTCAAAACTGGCATTTTCCAAAAAATAACCTATTTTATGGATTTTTCTAAATTTTTATTCAACACGCTGTATCTCCCTTAGTTTTAGTCCGATTAAATTGAAATTTTTTGGAGAGCCAATTTAGACCTTTGTTATCATGACTGACAATAGAAATGCAGAAAAAAAATTATGAGTCACCATATTATATATTTTTTAAGTTAATGACACGAAAATCGTTAAAATTGTAGCCAGAAATACTCGATCGAGAAAACTTTTTTGTTTTTGAAGATCGATGTATACTGGGTGTCCACTTAGTGCGATATCGGACAATATCTTCTTACAGGGTGATGCAAGAAAAAAGATTTAAATTACAAAGTTGTTTGATATTCTAATATGCATTAGTTAAAAATATTTTTGAATATACAGGGTGCTCTGTTTATGGGGTATGCGATAAAACTTTGTTATTTAAAATGGAACACCCTGTATGTGATTTCATATTTGGATTCTACGTAAAATTCTGAGCAGATTTCATGTTATATACCCTATACCTAAGTGCAGCTGTTTTGAAAATATTTACAGTTGAAAATTGACTTTTTGCAACTTTGACAGGCTGTAAAACCTAAACGGTTAATTTTAGACGAAAACCGATTTTACATTCCTATCTTAGATTTTCATAAACTATCATTTGACACCAACTTTGAATTTAACCGGAGATTAAATTTCACTGGAATTTTTAATCATGGATTAAATTCAAAGTTGGTGTCAAATGATAGTTCATAAAAATCCAAGATAGGAATGTAAAATCGGTTTTCGTCTAAAATTAACCGTGTAGGTTTTACAGCCTGTCAAAGTTGCAAAAAGTCAATTTTCAATTGTCAATATTTCCACAGTTGAACTTAGGTATAGGGTATATCACATGAAATCTGCTAAGAATTTTACGTAAAATCCAAATATGCAATCACATACAGGGTGTTCCATTTAAAATAACGAATTTCTGTCGCATACCCCATAAACGGAGCACCCTGTATATTCAAAAATATTTTTCACTTATGCATATTAGAGTATCAAACAACTTTGTAATTTAAAAAAAAATTCTTGCATCACCCTGTAAGGAAATATCGTCCGATATCGCACTAAGTGGACACCCTGTATAGTAAGCGACAAAGTTGTAGCCAAAGAACCAAAAAAGTTTTTTTATTCTTGTGATTTTTTTGATAACTTACTTAGTTTTCAAACAAACGTATCCCCAATATAGAAAAAAACTATCCCGGCTCCGCGGTCGCTGCACAAGCGGTCGCCATGCGTATTCGTATTGCAGTTTCAGAGGGCAGGGATAATAACCAATAATAACCTATTCAATAATACTTAATCGGGGGTTTATTTCAAAGTTCATTCAGTAAATTTAAATTTTGGAGAAGGAGAAATATGTAAAATAAAGTTTTAAGTTTTGATGAAGGCAATTAGCAATGGCAGTGGTTTAAAATGTTTAAATAGATTTGATTGAAAATATAATTCATGTTGTTATTTATTTCCAGTGCATGTTTTTTATCATGCTCATCTTTGTTCCTGATTCAGCTCCTACTCTAATTAATTTTTAGATTAAGTAATGACAACAACAAATAACATTGGATATGGTAGAGCTATCGTATGCTAATCAGAACGTAGCGGAGATTGGAACCAGCATTTACTATCTGTAGAGAAAACGCTCTCTTTTATGGTGTCTGCTGGATACTACAAATATGTGTCATATATATTTAATTATTTATTTACGTGATATGAAAATTCTAAAAATTTCTGCTCAAGAAGTACACGAAGCATTTCTAAAAGGAAAATTTAACATTCAATTGAAAAAATGGGGTGCTTAACGGCGTTTGGACTGATATGGGCTTAGAACAAACATACATAGACTTTTCATATCACGTAAATAATGAGGTATATATGACACCATATTTGTAGTGTCCAGCAAACACCATAAAAAGGAGCATTTTCTCTACAGATAGTAAATGCTGGTTCCAATCTCCGCTAGGTTCTGCAATTATACAGGGTGGAATTTTTAAATGGAATAAATTCAGTATCAGAAAGCCTGTTTATTTTCTGGAAAAAAAAAGAAAAAAAAACGGGTCCATTTAAGTTAGTTTAGTTTGGCACATTTTTTCGGCCTTCTCGTGGAATTTACCCCTCACCTAAGGGTAGAAACCACCCCCAACTTTTTTTTTTAATGTAAAGATATGTTTTGGGATAGCTCGTTGGAATGGGCATAAAAAAAGGAATATGACCCATTATTTACTTTTTCATTTCGGTGATCTAGTTATGTAATTATTTTTGACACTAACACACTATTTTAGGGTTGAGAATCCGAGTATCAGGCATCAAATAGTGTGTTAAGAGGATCGATCATCAGCTGATTCGCTGCAATTCGGGGTTCCGGCGAGAACACACACGCGATCGCCTATTCCGTAAGCGTTGACAACAGTGTGTATTTTTATATGCATTATCAAAAGATGAAGAAGGTTTACTTGATATTTTTTACCTATTAGACGAGGACATCGCTCAGATCAGGACTAGCAATTACAAATATTTTCAAATAAATATCTAATTATTTTTTGTTATATCTGTTTATTATTCGTTAGAGTTTTTACTTCACATTCACAAGTAAAGTATTAAAAAATAATAGTTAGAAACATTGAAGAAAACTAAATACCTAAACGTCAAAAATATAATTTAATTTATTTATTTGGAAAACAATAAAATTTTGATTGACTTGAAAATAACACCTGGAATATAAAGAGCAACATATTCAGGCCTATGATGTATCCTCTCCTGTTATTTTAACAGCTGTGTTATAGCTCAACAGCATACCTGTCTCTATTTTGATGTATAGAATAAACAGTGACAGATAACTTAACGTTGCTGTTAAAATAACAGAAAATGATACATAATAGGCCTGATTATCTTATCTAATATAATTTAAAAATCAATGTTTGTTTGTTCGTTAGTTCATGGACTCGGAAACCGCTGATCCGATCTGCTTTCATACAGGGCGATCTTCGATTTTTCTCAATTCTGAAAAATAGCTATACATTTTTCATTTATCAATTTTTTTTATTTCTGTAAAATGATTTTGTGGATACTTTTTTGAGCACAATCCAGTGGCGTACTTAGTTTTTTCCTATTTCGCTCCGATTTCGAGATATTGACCGATTTTTTTTAATAAGACACCTTGTATAGACATTAATAGCTCATTGGATAGCTCTGCTTTTGCTGATTTCAATGATATAAAGTTCGATAGGGATGATAGGTTTATCTCTAACATTTTTCGAGAAGAAAAAAAAATTAAATCTGTTTTACTCATAAGGAACAATGTGTTAGAAAAGGACTTTATATCTGTGAGGAAAATGATGATGGTCTCTTTCTAACACATTGTATCCTATTAAAAAAAATCGGGTTGTAGTCAATATATCAAAATGAGAGCGAAATAGAAAAAAACTGCGTACGCCACTGGATTGTGCTGAAAATAGTATCTAAGAGATGTTTTCACAGAAATAAAAAAAAATTGACAAATAAAAAACTTATGGCTATTTTTCAGAATAGGGGAAAATCGAAAATGGCCCTGTATCAATGGTACCATTGTCCATTGAAGATATCGCGTTACGGTTTTTGACAATCGACGTTTCTCGGAAATCGATTCCATGGCATCTAAGTTAACTTTTCTCCATCTGGCCGAAGTATGTTTTTCCTGTCAAAACACTCCAAATTACAGCATTCTGTACATAGGTAATCGTTTTCTGCCACAACTTTTAATTTTTGCTAGTCCGTCCCATGCTGCTATACTGACCAATGATACCGAATATCGAATTATGAAGAAAATAAATTTAATAGAGAGTTATTGGACGTGTAATAAGGACAATCAGTATTTAATTACATGCGCATTTGGATCTGAAAATAAGGATGCCCTTAATAAGGTAACTGCTTGTCTTTATTTGTGTACGGTTAGTGCGAGGTAGTAAACTTCCATTATTTCAAATATTTCTAACATTTTTGACGACTTTAACGTTTCGCTTTTTGACGATGACGTAATTTTACTTAGAGAATTTGTTTTTTACAATAGTTTTTCATTTTACTGTAGGCAACATCAAAAACTGGGTATCAGCAGAAATTCACAAACAAAAATAAACACTTTTTGAGGTTGAAATTCATAAAAGTAGCTATCAGCTGTCGAAAATATGAATACAAAATAAGTTTTTACTTAACACCTACTACAGTCTTCCAATAACTGTTATTTTCTTGGAAAAATAGTGCTGATGCACTAATAAAATAACGTAGATCCTTAATACTGCGAGGCAGTATTTAATAGTTCCAATAACTCTCTAATATCCCGTACAAAGGCACTCACAGATTCTAAATAAAAATAGATCGCTTCCTGAATGAATACCACCGCGTGCCGCGCCACCGCGCCAACAAGGCGCCAGCGCCAACCTAAGGGTTGCAGTGATGCCAAATAATATTTTAAGTTGTATAAAATGTATTTTTTTTTTCCGAAATCCAACAATTTTAGATTTCGAAGGTTTTAGAAGTAATTAGGATTTTCATCAAAAACTTGTTGTTAGATAAATTATTTAAAAAATAATGAAGAATGAGGGAAAGTCTATTTGAACGCGAAAAAAAAAATGTGCGAAAAAATTTCGAAAAAAATTTTTTTTCAAAATTTTTAAAATAACTTTCCCTCATTCTTCAATGAATTTAGAATATATAGCCAAAGTTTTGTTTTATTTAATGTTTTAGTTTTAATGCAATTCCTTGAATAAAATATGGGGACATTACAAATGGGGCTTGTTTCGCATTAGGGTTCTACCAAGAAGAAATACTGAAGATATTCAACAATTTTAACTGTAAAAAAATTGTGTGGAAAAATGTATCTTTATTATTTTCTCGCTTTCTAGATCACCGAAATGCAAAAGTAAATAATGGGTCATATTTCTTTTTTTATGCCCATTCCAACGAGCTATCACAATACATATTTTTACATTTGCAAAAAAAAAGTTGGGGGTGGTTTCTACCCTTAAGAGGGGGGTAAATTCCATGAGAAGGCCGAAAAAATGTGCCAAACTAAAAATAAAGGGACCCGTTTTTTTTATTTTTCCAGAAAATAAACAGGCTTTCTGATACTGAATTTATTCCATTTAAAATTCCACCCTGTATACCACTGTAGTATACATAATATCATATTTATGTACTGCAGCCAGAAAAGAGCAGTGGGGTTATTTTTGAAAGTTTCGTTGAATTGTTTTCTTAAAGGCTCAATATTTTTAAACAAACTACAGATATTAGCATACGATAGCTCTACCATATCCAAACATTTTTCCCTTGAATACCGTCTCAAGTTTTCAGTCTCCTCTAATACTAAGTTAACATCAGAACATTCGATGTTATTTTTTGTTATCATTACCCAATCTAAAAATTAAGTAGTAGGAGCTGCATCAGGAACAAAGATGTGAACACTGGACATAAATAACAACATGAATGGTATTTTGAATCGAATCTATTTAAACCACTGTCTTTGTCAAATGCCTCAATCAAAATTTAAAACTTTATTTTACATATTTCTCCTTTTCCACAATTAAAATTTACCAAATGAACTTTGAAATAAACCCCCAATCAAGTATTATTGAATAGGTTATTATTGGTAATTATCCCTGCCCTCTGGAACTGCAATACGAATATGCATGGCGACCGCTTGTGCAGCGGCCGCGGGGCCAGGATAGTTTTTTTCTACAGTGTGTCCCGCTTAAGGACTGACCACCCTTCTAAAATTTTTATTTTTCAACCGATTCAATTCATTTTTTTTTTTTTTTGTCTTATAGATACTCGAATTTGGCACTCATTAGGCTAATAATTTTATTTCTTCGGCTGTACTGGTGTACAGCGTGTCCACATTTATAGGCTCAAATTTCAATAAGTACTATTAGGGATTTTTTTAGAAAAAATCTGATAGCAGATTCTTGTTTAGAATGGTCTGAAACCCAAATGTACCAATTTTTGTTTCAATATAATACAGGGTGATAACAACAAATTTTCAATACTTGATGGATCAAACCGGAAAAATGTCATATTTTGAGGCGTTGAGGACAACAAAACTTGATACAACATAGTTTTAGAACATCCTTAACCAAAACTTGTAGTAAGCTTGTCTTAAAATATAACATTTTTGTGGTTTGATTCATTAAATTGTGAAAATTTGTTGACATCACCCTGTATCATATTGACATAAAAATTAGTACATTTGGGTTTTAGACCATTCTAAACAAAAATCTGCTATCAGATTTTTTCCAAAAAAATCCCTAATAGTACTTATTGAAATTTGACCTTATAAATGTGGACACCCTGTTCACCAGTACAGCCGCAGAAGTAAAATTATGAGCCTAATAAGTGCCAAATTCGAGTAGCTATAAGACAAAAAAAAAATTGAATCAGTTGAAAAATAAAATTTTTAGAAGGGTCGTCAGTCCTTAAGCGGGACACACTGTATATTGGGGACCCGTTTGCTTGAAAACTAAGTAAGTTATCAAAAAAATCACAAGAATAAAAAAACTTCTTTGGTTCTTTGGCTACAACTTTGTCGCTTACTATAAACATCTATCTTCAAAAACAAGAAAGTTTTCTCGATCGAGTATTTCTGGTTGCAATTTTAACAATTTTTGTGTCACTAACTTAAAAAAAATATATTATGGTGACTCGTAATTTTTTTCCTGCATTTCTGTTATGTCAGTCGTAATAACAAAGGTCTAAATAGGCTCTCCAAGAAATTTCAATTTAATCGGACTAAAACTAAGGGAGATACAGCGTGTTGAATAAAAATTTAGAAAAATCCAAAAAATTGGATATTTTTTGGAAAATGCCGGTTTTGACCAGTTTCGCAATTCCAGATTGACTGGCGAACTCCAAAATCGGATCCGCCAGGTCCATTTACATAAGAAAACATTTTTTTTTAGGTGGTTGTTCGCGATCTTATAGAGGGTGCATCTTAGACGTTGCTCGTTCTCCGACTAATACTATTTCAAAATAAATTATGTATTAGTACCTAAAGCATTATTCACAATCTGTATCTCCTTCGCTTAAATAATCCTGACATGGGACTGGACTTAAATTTGGCGCTGTTGCTGGGGCTGAAGACATTTGGACAATTCTTCTGTAGTGATTTAACCACTCTTCGCACATTTGTGCCACAAGCAATGGCTTTTTGTGCAAAGGTTGTTGAGCTACCTTGATGCCCTCCTCAGTGTCAGATACTTCTATCCATTGCCTCAGTATAGTTTCCTCTCTTCCTAATTCAGATTCCAATAGAAAATGTATTTGCAGAGGCTTTCTATCTCTGTCTACTAGTGGCAACAAAGAGGCACGCGGTTGTGTATTAAATGAAGGCTCTATAGGTACTAAAGCTGTAAAGTGACCTCTGGTAAAACCCAAGGCTATTGGACAACGTGAGCAAAAGCTGTGGTCCCACAGTAGAGGCAAATAAACACCTTCGAACCTTGCTGGACATAATGCTTCTCCTCTGAAGCTTTTAACGACCTAAAGTTAATTTAAATTTGAAACAAGAATAATTTTTAATAGAACATGCTTACTTTCACTCCATAGACTAGTATGGGTCGCCTCAAAACATGCGCCAGCGCAAATATATGCAACTGTTCCAAACTGGATCCTGGTCGAGATGCTGAAGTAACCAAACTACTCCAATCTTCTTGCCACTGAGCATCCTCCAGCGAGTATTGTAAAAACGAGGCATGAGATGATTCATATTCCTTCCAACGAATATAAAAGGCTTGCCCTGCTTGTACTAAAGTTTCGGCTAGAGCTCTTCTTAAAGTATTTTCTCTGTCAAATACACCCCATGTGGCTTGCATAACACTATCTAATAAACAATCTCCTGCAGATCTGAAAAAAAAATGTGTCATGAATTAATTCAAGTTCAGTGTTTACAATACATATTACAGCATTACAAAATAACATGAAATGAAATTAGGTCACAAAACAATATACTTAAATTACATATCCAAGTAATCTTTCAAATAATAGGTCTGTTTCTGCAGAAATCCCAAACCAGTTAGAGTGAATTTCATTGGTCGAAACTAGTTTTCTGACTGTTTTCAACCAATGAAATTCGCTCTGACTGGTTTGTGATTTCTGCAGAAACAGACCTAATATGGTTCTATGTCTATTAACAGTATCTTGGTTTTATTCTTACATTCCCTGTAGTTTTCTACTGTTTCGAAGTTGTTTATTTATTAAATATTTTAATACAGTTGTAAGATAGATTTTTTTCACTTAAAGGTAATCTATGAATAGGATAATATACAGGGTGATTTACGTAGCCTTTGCATTAGAAGTTTTTGAGGTTAGAGATGGATTAGAAACTTCACTGGTTTGTAGCTATAATCAATCGTTCCGGTGTCACCTAAAATATTTTAAGATCTTCGACTTCAGGGAGTGTACCGAATGAAGCACTAACTTTCTTATTTCAAATAGAAGCACGCATATTTTTCAACATAGTTCGGTTGGCCTTGCAATTTTGAGTTTTAACCAACCACCCAAGTTTTATCAACTTATCTCTTATAGTTTTTGACATACATTTCATTTTTGGTCTCAAATTGCCGCTGCAGTTGTTTAGGAAAAACAAGGTTTCTCGAAAACCGTTCCAAAATAATAAACCAAATCTAGAAGATAATTAGCTGAAAGTTCAGGCTAACTCCTGAAGTGTCATTAGTGCGCCCATTTCATACCATATGGGTGCAGGCAACCTACAAACATCGGAATCAATAATGGTCACAAGGTAATTTTTTCAAATGTCACTTATCATGTTTTTTTCACGCCATTCGAAAGAAAATTGAATTTTAGATGGCGTTACTTAAGCATTCCCTATACCTAACTTGATTCGTTATCGAGTTATCCAGAGAAAATTCCACTTTTTCTGACCAGATAGTCAAAATAGACCTTTCACGCCTGTCAAGTGTCAATAAAAAGCCACTTTAAATGAAATTCGGAGAAAAATTACTATTTTTGCTGTTGTTATGTTTTTTTTTTGTTTTTTTATTTTTTTGGTTGAGGAACGGGTGGCATATTCATTTTTTGCCAACGTAATAGGACCTTCGGCTGCACTCGTGTTCGTTCGAGCACAGCGTAGGCGAATTATGATTGAAGTGGACTAACGTTGGCAGTTTAGAGCCTGCCTGGCGTTCGGGAAAATATTCTCTAAATAAATTAAGTTGGAAAGTGGCAATTATTGTTGAAGAAATACCTTTATTAAAAGTTTAAAAATTAATCATTGTGTCTATTTAAAGGCCCTAGAATTTTTTTGGTAGATTTGAGTTAGTTTCGGTTGGTTTGTGTTAGTATGGGTTATTTTTGGTTGGTTTGGGTTAATTTTGGTTAAAAAACCGCACTAGGCGCTGGTCCTTTCTATTTCCTTTTTTCAAGCAAAGAAATGAGAAGTACCTAATCCAAATTAACCCAAAATGACCCGTGCTGGAAATGCGACCCAATCTCTGTTTCTGAAGCTGATCAAATAGCGAAAAAAGAGCGCGTATAAAAAATAGAGCGCATGTATGTATTATTAAATTTTGAATAAATAGGTATTATGAGTTACTGAAGTTGGTTTCTCTGACGTTGTGGGACAGAAACACAGTTCAGCTGAACATTTATTTTACAACAAGAAGAGAAAAAAAGATCTTTTGTATTTTGAACCTTTCATATTTTCGATATTTTGCATTTTCGACATTTCTCAATTTTCACCTTTTGCATTTTCTTATTTCATTTTTTTTAGCTCACACTCTATAAAATAATTAGTTTCCATGGGGTAGTTCCAAAGACATCGGTAGTTATCTACCACAATCTTATGCCATTCATTGTTTTCATGTAAATTAAATTCTTATCTTTTATCTTCCCTTCCTTTAGAGGAAAAACATATATCGGACCTAATTATCAATAAAATGCTTGTAACATACAGTCACATGAAGTGCCAACGTCTGGTTGCGATGCTCATATTCTGCCAACGCTTCATGGCGCAGGGCACGAATCTAGCCGAATATCAGTTGCGTTGGCAAAAAATGAATATGCGAACGGGTGGACAAGTTACGGGATTTCTTGATGTTCACGAATAACTCGATAACGAATCAAGTTCGGCATAGGAAATCCCCAAGAAAGGCTACGTAAAATTTAGTCTTCTTGCAAATGGTACCAAAAAACATAATAAGTAACATTTAAAAAAATTACTTTTTGACCATTATTGATTCCGATGTTTGTAGGTCGAACTTTCAGCTAATTATCTTCTAAATTTGGTTTATTATTTTGGAATGGTTTTCATGAAACATTGTTTTTTCTAAACAACTGCAGCGCCAATTTAAAACAAAAAATGACATTTATGTCAAAAACTATGAGATAAGTTGACAAGACTTTGGTAGTCCAAACTCAAAATTGCAAGCCCAACCGAACTATGTTGAAAAAGATGCGAGTTTCTATTTGAAATAAGAAAGTAAGTGCTTACATTTGGTACACCTTGTATGTTGAAGATCTGAAAATATTTAAGGTGACACCGGAAAGATTGAATATGGCTACAAACCAAATTTGAAGTTTCTAATCCCCCTGCAAGCGCAAAAGCTTCTAATGCACGGACTTCGTAAATCACCCTGTATATCTGTGGCTCTTGTATCGTGTAGGTATTGTGGTGTAAGTGTTATGTAAGTATTAAAAATTCATTTTTGTTTCTATGCATCTAAAAGGCATTCGTGTATGTATAGACCATAAACTGTTAATATTCCCAACTCCCTGAATTTGCCCCTGCAGGAGTTTCTGAAACTCATGTTAAGCAATAACCTGATAGTTCGCTTTAGGGCTACAAAGACTTATTGTGTTGAGGAACTGACTCCCCAAAAAATGATACTGTACCCCATCCGAGACTCAAAATTTGCATAGTGAAGAATTTTTTTAACCTTGTCTTCTACATATTTGTTCAGTCAGTACTCTGAGTGCAAAACAAACCCCCTTTAATCTTTTCACCAAACTTTCAATGTGTGTTGACCATTTTAGAAATTCATCAAGTATAACACCGAAAAATTTAATGTGCTCTGATGTGTCAATTTCCTGATTATGGATACTTATTGCTGATGGTTTCTCTTTTAGGTTATTGGTGCGAAAAATCACAATGGTTGTCTTGCTCCCTTTTATGAGTAGTTCATTTTTTTCAAACCAATTCTCTGCTCGAGATTATAGCTCATTGCACTTTTCTTCCAAGTCATGCCGATCCACTCTCACGACTAGCAGATTGGTGTATCCGAATAATTTGTTATCGCAGAATTCGCAGACTTCCCCAATCCGCTGCACACCAAACACAAATCGTTTATCATGATCAGGAATAGTATCGGCCCAAGTATGCTCCCCTGGGGCACTCCCACCTGATTTTGTAGCCATTCTGATCTAGAGGAGTTATTGTTCATATTAATTTTTACACATTGTTATCGATCTGATAAGTATGAGGTCAGCCACCTCAAAAAGCTTTCCTTTATACCATAATTTTCTAGCTTTTGTTTTAAATAGTTTCTGTTTAGGCAGTCAAAAGCCTTTGATAAGTCAATGAATAGCCCAGCAGCTAATTTATTTTCTTCAAGAAATTTAAGTATATTATAAGTAAATTGAAAATTTGCTGTTTGAGTCGATTTACCTTTTAGATATGCATGTTGTGATGGACTAACAAGATTACAATCATTAAAAAAAACTTAACAGTCGAAGGGACATTACCTTTTCAAACATCTTCGAAAAGCTATTTAGCAAACTTATGGGTCTGTAATTCTGGATCTCCTGACTTAAAAATCGGTCTTATGAGAGCTACCTTTAGCTGATTAGGTATTTCTTTTCCGATCGAAATTAGTCTCAGTGTAGAGTTAAGGTTTGGCAAATGTCATATTTTGACGTATGAGTAAAAGTCTAGCAACTTCCGGTTTTAGCATCGTAAATCTAAATGGCAACCTATTATTTTTTTAGTTGTTTTAAAATCTTGGGATCATTCTCTACGTGGAAATATAAAATTTGAAGCTGTTTGACGAAGTTTTAGAAAGGAGATTGTTTTTGAGTTGATACTACCAGGATTTGCCTGAAACTGTTTATTTTGGTATAAATAAGTGTAGAAAATTAGAAATGCGTTATTTTCACTAATAATTTTTCTAAGTACCAAGTATTTTTATATTTTATATGATAACTTAATAAAATTAAATGAAACCACCCAACTTTCCCATCTAGAGTTGATTACTTGCTTCAAAATAAAGCTAACGATCTACTGAATTCTGAAACTTTCTAAAAAGACCCGTTTTTAATAAATTTTCTTTAACTTCCAATTTGAAAAGTTACAAAAAAATATCGACAAGCGCCGGTATCGGAAATGTCAAGAAGTAAAGCGAGCAGCGAGCGAATGGATATTTTAATTAATATATTATCTATTAAACTCCATTTTCAGAGGCAGTTGTAGAAAAAAGATCGATCCGACGTAAATAACGAACGCATCTTGAAATGAAAAAAAAAAAATATTGCCTGTCAATGGGCTTTCATGATAACATTGGCCACCAGCTTCTTGCCATTCGCGATACCGGGGCTTATGTAGGCCAAAATAAACAGTTTCTGGCAGGGGCGTAGCCAACAGTGGGGAGACGGGGGAGCCTCCCCCAGACTGGGGAGCCTCCCCCCAGGGCGCAGCTGGCAAAAGGCGGTTACACACGGACGTGAATGTCTGAAAACATGTACGCACATACATGAACGCTCAAACAAAAACATCAATGTGTATGCAAAATACCGTCGCGTTTTTGAATGTGCAATTTTGTATGCACACTTGGAATACTGTAGCAAGAATAGCAAGACTGCAGTTTTGTGCGAGCGTCTGTACAAAGGCGCCA